CCCTAAAGGCTAAAGATGTTGACTTATTAAAAATACATTTACTGACCATTTATACTTTTGAGAAGTGTCTATTCAATTCATTTGCCCATTTATTGATTGGCCTATTTGATTTTTTTTTTTTTTTGGTGTTAAGGGTCTTTTTCTTTTTAGTTCTTTGTATATTCTAGATATTAATCCTTAGATATGAATAGCTGACAAAGATTTTCTCCCATTCTGTAAGATGTCCCTTCACTGTTTCCCTTTCATGCAGAAACTTTAAATTGGAGTAGTCTGATTTGTTGATTCTTGTTATTATTTTTTGTGTGATTGGAGTTCTATTTAGCAAGGCTTTACCTGTCTCCAGTTTTCTTTTTAAATGTAGTCACTTACTGTTATGAAATTCCTTAGAACTGCTTTTATTGTGTCCTATGATTTAGTGTATTTTACTTATATCTTAAGATATTTTACAACTTCCCTTTTGATTTCTTCTTTGACTCCCTGGTTTTTCATGAGTGTGTTAACTTCCAAATATTTGTGAATTTTCCAGTATTCTTTCTGCTACTGATTTCTAGTTTCATTCATTTGCAGTCAGAAAAGAAGCATGAAATGATTTAAATCTTAAGTTTTTTAAGACTTGTTTTGTAGCCCAAGACTGACCTGTCCTGGGGTGTTCTATATATGTGAGAATGTATATTCCATTGCTAATAGGTAGAATGTTCCACGTGTCTATTATATCAATTTGATTTAGTGTTGCTAAAGTCTGCCATTTCCTTTCTGATGTTTGCATGTTCTTTCTACGGTTGAAAGTGGGTACTGATGTCTCATTATTGTATTGGTATCTACTTCTCCTTCCAGTTCCGCCAATTTTTACTTAGTTGCCCTGATGTTGGGGTGCGTGTCGTATCTTCCTGGTGAATGGGCCCAATATCATTTATCCTTATGTTGACCATTTATCATGATACATTATAAGATACCCTCCATATCACTTATGAATTTTTATTTAATGTCTTATTTTGTAGTCCTTTTGTCACTCTTCTGTTGCTATATTCATTTGTGTTTCACTGATTTTGGGAGTACTGGTATGTTTTCATACCTTTTTCTCTCTCATTTGTGTATATTCTGTACGTATTTTCTTTGTGGTGACCTTGAGACTTACTTAAATCCTCATGTAATTATTTTAGTCTATTTTAAGTTGATAACAATTTGAAGTACACAAAAATCACTTTTACTCCCCCACTACACCTTGTTACTTGATTTTACAAATTACATATTCTATATTGTATGTTCATTATATTTTATAGTCATTTAAAATACTTTTAACCTTTATACTAGATTTAAAGGTGATTTTCATACCACTATTGCAATATTATTATTCTGTATTTGCCCCCAATTTACCTTTACAAGTGAGTTTTATACTTTCAAATGTTTGTACATTTATGTTTAGTGTCCTTGAGGTTCAACTTGAAGCTCCTTAGCATTTCCTAAATTACCTTAGTTTTTTTTTTCTAGGAAAGTCCTCATCTCTCCCTTCATTTTTTTTTTTTTTTTTTTTCTCCGAATGCTTTCAGTGCAGGTTTGGCTGGCTTGAGTTGTGGGGATCTAACCACAGCAACCTGAGCCTGACTGCTTTGTTTTTTCTTTCTTTTCTTTTCTTTTCTTTTCTTTTTTCTTTTTTTTTTTTTTAGAGCTGGGAATTGAACTCAGGCCCTTGTGCTTGGCAGGGAACTGAATGCTTTGTTGAAGCAGCCACTTAAAGAACTGAGCTAAGGGGCAGGCCCCCACTCCCTTCATTTTTGAAAGACAGTTTAGCAAAGTATAGTACTCTTAGTTGAAAATGTTCCTTATTTGAATATGCTGTCACTTTACCTTCTGGCCTGTAAGATTTCTCAGGAGAAATCCAATGCTACCTTTATAGAAGTTTCCTTATACATGTCAACTCACTTCTCTTGCTGCTTTTGAAATTCACTCTTTGTTTGGCTATAGTGTATCCCAGTGTGATTTATTTGAATTATATTTGGGATCTACAGGGATTCCTATACCGTATTTAGATATTCATTTTTCAAATATGGGATTTTTTAGCCATTATTATTTTGAATAAGCTTTCTGGTCCCTCCTCCTTTTCCAGGATTCCAGTAATGCATACTTTGGCCTGCTTGATGGTGTCCCATGACTCTCTTAAGCTATCTTTATTCTTTTTCATTATATTTTATATCTGTGACTAAATGACTTTAAATGACCTGTCTTTGAGTTCAATGAATTTTATTCTTAATCCAATCTGCTGAATTTTTCATTTAAATTATTATATTATTTAGCTCCAAAGTTTGTTTGGTTCTTTTTTAAAAAATGTATTTAGTACAGGGCCTCACTACATAGATCAGACTCATAGTTATTCTCCTGTTTTCAGCCTCCCAAATACTGGGATTACAGGCACACACCACCACGCCTGGTCTCAGTCAACATCTCAGCACACCCAGGGAGCAGGGCAGGCATGGCATGTTTATGTTTTGAGAATGGTCTCACTCAACTGACCAGCTAGATTTGGACTCGGAATCCTCCTGCCTCAGCCTTCAAAAATGCTGGGGTTACAGACTTGTGCTATAGTTCCTGCCTTTCCAATGTCTTTGTTCTCAGCAGTCCTCAGTTATACAGAGTATACTGTGTCATGTCAGTGCACTGAGTCAGGTCATATGGCAGCAGTGCCATGGAAAACCCTTAGAAAAGAATATTGAACACACACTCCAACTCTTCCCTTCCCTGGGGTGAAGTGAGATCTGGGTTTTTTTTGCCTACTCACCTTGCATTGAATTGAGTAGAGGGGCTACTACAAATACTTATATGCTAGACTAAGTTGGTTTGTTCCTTAGAAACAAGAAGTCAGCCCCCCAGGCATATCTCAGAAAATTTAGGACACTGGGTATATGGTCCAGTACCTTCCTCCCTACAGTTCTTAGGGAGAACATATAGCACCTGGATGTTTCCTACTAATCACATGATGCTGTGCCAAGGGTAGGTGTTATATAGTAATACGATATCTTAAACTTTCCTACTAACTTCAAGGTGGCTAGTTTTGTGCTTGGCTAAGGAGTAGTAGGCTCTCCTTTAGTTTACGGATTTCTCACAAAGAGAATTAGTCCATGGATTGCCACTGAGTCAGTGGTCAGTGTAACATGGGGAGAAAGAAGGCTTCCTACATTTTGCTGATATCACTCTCTTGTTTTGGTTCCTTTTTTTATTTTTAGGACAGGATCTACAGGGTCTACAGGGTCTACAGGGTCTCTCTGTGTAGATCAGACTGGTAATGATCCTCCTGTTTATAGTCTCCCAAGTGCACCAGGCATTACCACCACATGCAGTTTCAATTGCCCCCTGGGCCAGCAAGGCAGGCCAGGGGATCAAACTCTTGGGCCCTGTGTCTGCCTAAGCAGGCACTTTAATCCACTGAGCTATTTGGCCGGCTCTTGGTTCCTAACTTTAATGTTAGAAGATTTTCTAACATTAAGGGATCATTTTCTGCTGATCCCTGGATTTTTGATTATATTTAAAAGGGGGACCTAAAAGGCTAAGTGTGATCCTTATGGTCTACATAGGCCTTGTGACATAGTTGGCTTCACTGTAATGTTCTAAGTGGGCAGTTTCACAGAAGGACTATGAAGGTCAGTATCTTTAGATATTTTATTTTAGACTTCTCAGGTTCCTCAGGAAAAAGATCTTCCATTCTGTCTAGCAGATTCATGTGCGGATGCCAGTATTCTGGAAGTTGAGCAGAGTTCAGGGTGGGAATAGGAGCAGTCCCCACAATTAGGATTTCCAGTTTCATTTAAGTCCTCCTCTGTGCTTAGTACATAACTTCACTAGCCTTTGCCATAAGGAACCCTCAAATCTCAGTGGCTCTAAGCAAAGAGCATGTAGGTACTGTTCTATGTCTATTGGTCAGCTCAGGCAGCTCTGCTTCAGGTTACAGATCTGCAGTTCATTTAGAGCAGCTCTACAGAGTCAGCTGGTTGTCTGGGGTTGATCTTGTACTACTATTTCTGGGGTCCTCTCAAGAGAAGCAGAAGCAAATTAAGATATATTTTTCTCATAATGATGGCATAAGTATAAGAAGATAATCCTTCCATTTAAGTATGTTTCAAAGCTTTTGTTACTGATATCCTGTTGCCCAAAGCAAATTACCCAGCTCCCCCCAAAGCCAGAGTATAATTACTATCAGAGAATAAGTAATTGGGACCAATATTTCAAAATCTCACTATATGTTTGCTATTAATAGTGCCTAGCATCTTCTAGTTCATAGGCCTTTTCAAAACATTCCAAGGAGTCAGTCTAGAGGCTCCATTTGAGTGTAAAAGAAGCAGTCATCACACAGGCCATGTTTCTGACGTAACTTTTTAGAAGTATTTTGTGCAGCCAACACTTCTGATTTAGGATTCATCTTTATGTAATATCAAGCCACCTGATCCCTTGCTTTCCAAACTTTGTTTTCTTCTTTCATATTTACTTTGTCCTTACGAGTTTACTTTTTTAAAAAAGTAGAAGAAATGAATTCATTTTATGTCACTGCAGAAAGTTGTAAAGTATGCATTCAGTTTGTCATCACCAACAATACCCTATTTATGCCTATAATAAAAAGTAAACTATTTGTAGACGTGAATAGTTAATAAATTATGTACTGAAAACTAAGAGAAGTACATGGAATACAAGATAACCCACAGCTCAGAGGAAAAAGTTTACATTCATTATATACAAAATTGATTAATATTTGGGTGTGTATTACACAAAAGTGCTAAATGATATTTTTTTCATTCTTCTCTGATCTGTAGGCAATTTCTCTGTATTTCTATGTGATTACACATGGAACATAGTACTTATGGTATTCTGGAAGCTGAGCAGAGAAATGAGGTATCAGGGAAGTGTCAGTAAAGAAAAGAAGTGTTTTCTCAAAAGAACATTTACTCATTAGAGAATTTGTGGACAAAGAACAATTCATATAATGAAGCAGATTAAGGTTTAAATTACATTCTCACCCAAATAATTTGATCCTCTGAACAGTTCAGGTGATGAGAAGCTACTTAAATTTTCTTCAACACTGTTGTATTCTGTATAAGACTCTGTTGCTGAATAGCTCAGAAGAGAACTAGAAGTATCATACTGTAAACTTGATCCTATAACAAAAAATAGAAATGGTAAAGTATCTCAATAGAATACAGACTTGAAACAATAAGAAATTAAATTTATAGACATGTACATGCAGCTCTATACTAAGATGTAAAAAACCACTTCTACATACAACTGCAAAAGCATCATAATACAAACTATTTCATTTGAATCTTAGAAAATAATTTTTATTTTAATAAAATGCATTATAATCTTACATTGTTTTTTAAAGTTTTATGACTTACTGTTTTTGGTTCAATTGTAATTCTTGGCTCAAAAATTCAAGTTCCATATATAAGTGATTCACTAATTGCAAGCTAACCAGTTAAGGAAAGGAAAAAGTGAGTCTAGTTATTTCATTCAAATAAACAGATCAAAGGTACTGAACAGATAACCAGTATTAGACTCACACATATATGAACAATTGATTTCTTTGAACAATTGATTTTTGATCAAGATGTAAAGACAATTTAGCAGAGGAAGGACAACATTTTACACAAACTGTGCTAGAATAGCTGGTTATCTATGTGCAAAACAGAACAAAAATTTACTATCACACTGTCCATCATATAAAAAATTAAATCTAAATGCATCATATCCTAAAACTAACACTCAGTTTCTTACCTCACTACAACTTTTTCTTCTAGTCCAACCCCTCTGTTAAAAATGACAACCTTCTCAGCTTTCAGAGGTAGGTTATTTCTGTAGGTATCCTTTGCTACATCTAGATAAATGCCTAAAGCAGCAATGATGACTCTTAGAGACCAAGTACCAAGCTGCAACTCAAAATCTGATTACCTACTGCAAAGTGCCAACACTGCAGGTAAACCTGAATTGTGAAGATTTCAGAAAAAACAACACATATATTAACATATTTTGTCTTAAAAACACAACAACCCATGGCAACAGGTTTGCCGCCACTGCCCTAAAGTGACCTACCCTCATCCTTGCTACCTTTTTTACTTCTCATTCTGTCTTTACCCTTCCCACTTCCATTGTTATGTCTGGCTTGCCTTTCACCTCTCAAAATTCACAGCATAGCTAACCCTTCCACCAAGTGCCAGAACTCAAGTCAGGTTCAGAAACAAGGAAAGCCCCATACTCATCATCTGGATAGTTAGGTAGAGAAAAAGAAATGTTCATGCTGTGTGAGTATGAAGTCATTCATTTCATTACAAGTTAGAAATGTAAATGTACATTTATCAAATTACACTGTACATTTTTATTAATTTATTGAGAAACAAATAGCAATGAGACAGTTTCAAAACTGATTAACAGGACAGTTTCAATAATTAATACATTGCATATTGTTGTCTTCATAGTAGTTACTCATAGTACAAGACGTAGACATGATATCCTGTCCAAACACTATTAGTACAAATCTTTCTTATTGAATTAAGAGAAAGTAGCTGCATATCTAACTTATTTTGTATATACAGACACAAAATGGTCCTTCTGGGGCCAGGGAGATGGCTCGGTAGAAAAAGTGCTTCCCTGGCAAGCACAAGGGCCTAAGTTCAATCCCTAGTTCCGCAAAAAAAAAAAAAAAAAAA